GGTCCCCAGCTGAGGGTGTGTGAAAGGCAACCACACATTGATGTGTCTCTCCTTCTCTGTCTCCCTTCCTTCCCCTCTCTCTAGAAATAAATACATAAAACCTTAAAAAAAAAACTAATAAAAAAAATAAGATGACAGCACGGAGCCCCCAACTGGATGCTTCCTGTGGAATCTGTGACTTGGCCTTGACACCATCAGCACAGTGCTCTTGACTTGAGATAAAATCTAGTGATTGTCAACATTTTAGCGTTCAAATTGCAGAAGCGATCATCTCCCTCCCCTTCCTTTGTTCCCACCCCCACTGTTATCACTGTGGGCTGATTAAATAATTTATTGTGAAGTGACAGGCTCTCTCTGCCTCGGAGGTTGGGGTCTGGCTTCGTCCTGCTGTGACTTTCAGTTGTGTGACTCCCCAGAATTATGCATTGTTAGTTGTAGCTTCAAGATATCCAGGAAGGCCAATTGGGTAAATAAGTCATGTCAGTGTATTACGAAGTTTTCACAAACACAGGATCAGGGCTGCACAATGATCTGTCATGTTCTAACCTGTTTTAGGGTTTTGGAGCTGATGAATCTTGCCAAGGACAAACCCAAAGGCAGTACAGGCCTTTACCCGGAAGTCATGAAATCGACGAGCACGGGTGACTTATTTTCCTAGACTGGAGCATTTGTGCCCTTAGAGCCTGGGGGTGAGGGGGTGGTGTCAGCAGGCTCTGGGCGGGGGGAGAGGAAATGCGTGATCAGAGGTTCTGCATGTGAGTTTCCCTTGGGCAAAGTAAACTCATAATTCCTAAACTTTGAAAACCATTGACGTGGTGAACCTTGGCCAGCTTCGTTTTCACGTGCACCTAGTTTTGCACAGTGACATTTAGTGAACCTGACACTTGAGAGTAGTTCAGAGGTGACCTCTCCACATGCTTGCTCTTAAGTTCTGTAAGTGAAATGCTGCAATTTACTAAAGAATAAACCAGGAAAACCTTAACCCTATAGGAAACAAAAGTATGTATTCACTCAGAAGCAGCAGAACCCCCGCATAAGTCTCTGAATGCCAGTGTAACTATGTCTAGAAAATACTTGTGAAGTGCATTCTCTTTAGTAGGTATTTGGAGTGATTGCCATTTAAACGGTGAGGTGTCGTCTGAAGAATGCAGGAAATCCAATTTGGAGAAAGCATTGCAGAGTTGACAAGACATATCAATACCTGGAACAGAAACATCCTAAAAGAAAAGGCCTACTGTACTGTAGGACGAGGCTGCAATTTCCCTCTGGGTCTCCAAACAAAAACAACAAAACAAAAACAAAAAAAGAACAAACAAAAACAAAAAACACAGATCTCTTATAAAAGAACTCCACCCATTGATGGACTAGCTCTAATGTTAACAGATGTCTAAAAACACAAGTCAAGATGAACACAATGCGATCAAATGACCCCATGTAAAAAATTCTGTGGGATGATGGATTTAATATATCTGCCTAAGCGACTCTTGGGTTCATCCTATGCATTAGGACCGACAAGAAAGGTAGTGCTACTTTAAATCATAAACTAAGTGTGGCTTTAAAATTTTTATGGTTTGTTTTTCTTATGTGAGTCATTGAACTGGCTCTGAAGGCAAATTCCACAGGAGAATTTTAGAATATGTGTTGGGCTCTCGCAGTACTGGAATAAGTATTCAGCCTTTCAACGAAGCTTCACTAGAATTACCTGAATTTATAAATAATGGTACATTTGGGTAAAATCAGACTTCCCAATTTAGTAATATCTTTCTCATAAAAGACAGCGCAAAGCTGCAGTTGGTAGTTATTTTTCAAAGTCACATGAGTTTAACGACTTTGCCAATTGAAGGAGTCATTTCCTATAACTTGGCCCATGTGTGCAATAAGGAGGATGCTGTGAATGCAATCATCACAAAATCATCCTTTTTATTCTTCATCACTGGTTTACCATATGTATCTATGCCACATGGAATAATCAAATATGTCTGGAGAACAATTTTACTTTTCAAAATATGTGTTATGTTTTGTGAAACTGTTTCCCATGTTCTAACTCTGGAAACAAAAATGATTTATAAATGTTTTTTTTTATTAAATCAGTATTTCAATTCTGAGGCATAATAAAGGGAAAGAATTTTTTCCACTTCCAGTGTGGCATGTACTAAGCATCAGATCATATGTGGTGTCCTATGGGGAAGCACGTGTTGCAGGAATAATCTGGAAGTTTATTCCCTCAGTTGCGGGATCTGTTAGCATCCTTTGTGTCATCCCTGCTGCTGATGCTGAAGCTGGATTGCTTCATTCCCTTGTCTGTTGAGTTACCTAATGAGTGAACGTACAGAAATTAGATGCCCTGGTTGGTGTGGCTAAGTTTCTTGGCACGTCGTCCCATGGACCGGAAGTTTGCGAGTTCAATTCCCTGTCAGGGCACATATCCAGGTTGTAGGTTTGGTCCTCAGTTGGGACACCTATGAGAAGCAACTGATTGATGTCTCTTTTTCACATTGATGTTTCTCTCTCTTTTCCCTTTTCCTCTTTCTCTAAAAGCAAGGAGGAAAAGTCCTCTGGTGAGAATTAAAAAAAAAGAAAAGAAATTGGTGGCTGTTAGCAAAGGCTGGGAGGTTCGCACTCTCTTTTTTGTCAAAGCCTGCGGTTCGTGCAATTAGTTGGGTTTTCCTCCTGCTCATCCAGGATGGTCTTGGTTGATGACTGCTGTTCTGGCCTAATTAATGGTGATGTTTTCTCTCCTTCTCAGAAGTATGCATGTTTGGACGATAAAACATCATCTATTTCTGTAGGGCCTGTTTCAGCACAGGGGTTAAGCATCTGAAACTTGGAGCTGGGCCACAGGTCTGCTTGTGTGCACTTCCCAGGCTTTGCAGCAGTAAGGCCAGAAAGTTAGCACTGCCCCTGATTGCAGTCGCTTCCTAATGGTCTCCTCTCTTAAGGTGGCATGCCGTGCTGCGCTGCAGTGTGGGCATTCTTAACAGAGAAGTGGCAAGTGTGCGCTGGCAGAAATAATTCAAATGGCAACCCTAAGACTAGATATTCTCTCTTTCCCTCTCTCTCTCTCTCTCTCTCTCTCTCAATTTTCTATCATTTATCTCACCTGTTATCTATCTCTCCATCCATGGACTGTCTCCCTGTCATCTAGCTATCTGTCCATCATCCATCCATCCATCTATCAATCATCTATTATCTGCCTACATTACCTATCTACATATCTATTTATTTTTAATATTCTGTTGAAATAAGATCCCTGGGGATCACTTAGATGGAGGAGGGAGCTTGGTTTTGCATTTGGTCCTGGAGCAGCAGGATAATTTGTGCCCGGTGCAGCCTCTGTCCCTGAGGTCTCTCACACACCAGGACGGAGCATAAATAGCGGCTCTGATAAGTGCTCCTCTCCCAGAGGGAGCCTGGATCCAGTCACTTTCTTGCTTATCACTCTGCCATCCACAATGACAGCCACGCCGGCTCCATGCTGTAAATGGAATAGGCTAAAACTGTGCACCCTGTAAAGCTTACACAAGAAGGGTTATGGGAACAAAGAGATAGAAGGGATCCTTAAAGTCAGACGGAGGTGTGTTTGGAAGAACCTCCATGGCTTCCCCACGCAGACAGTGGGAAGGTTGTGAACCACCCTGAACCAGCCTGTTCTGGGGCTGAGGACAGAGGGTGAGGAGGGGCCAGGGGCTGGGACCCTCAGTAACTACAACCTGCAGAGATGCCTGCCACTCAAAGACAAACCTGCTTTCAGCTTCTCTTTGTTCTGTGTCATTTCATGCTGGTATTCCCTTTCCTGTTTGTCACAGATATAATATATGTGTATATATAACACTAGGCTGTGTGCACATGTACATATATATATATGTGTATTTATATATTAAAATATATTCATGTATTATATAGAATATAATATCTAATAATATCATATACACATTAATACATATATATTATACATGCATAATTAATAACCAAATGTAATTTTATAATATTTTATAGTATAGCAATATAAATATGACTACATATATGTGCATGTGTATAATGTAGTGTTATATAATATTTATCATGTAATTATAATAATAGACCAATATATTATATGATATATAATATATTCATTGTGCTGTTATTATAAATACTATATTTATGAGTATACAAATTAATCAATCATAAAGATCCCTGCATTATTGGTTAATCTATGCACAAGGCTCTGTACTCAGTGGGAGTTTCATTATTTAAAATCTTAATTCCTTTTTTCTTTTTTCTTAGCCTTCACTAGGTAGGGGACATGAATTCACAACAATAATCTATTGTGATGAACCTTGGTAAATGATTAAGGCTTATTCTTTTTTAAGGGTGAATGCTATTTAAAGTGAGTCACTTAAATAAAGTTGTGAATGAACATTTCTGTATTTCTTGATCTTATATATTCTATGGGTAAAAGAGAGATGCTTTTTAGAGTCAAAAAGTGATTATTTTGTTGTCCTAGGCAAAAGTGTGCACGTGTATCCTAATTCAATCCCAGCCTCCCCTTGGTAAAGTAAATGTCACTAATATGGAAGAAGGAGGCTGAATTATTGGGGTAACATTCAGCTGTGCTTATAAACAATATTTCATATATATCAAAAACAGCATGAATTGGCCTGGGCAGAGGGGGACCCTGGCAGGAATGCTTTCATGTATGCTGTGTGATTGGCACCAAGTACATGTGTGTTAAAGGACAAACAGTTTCAGGGTGTGTCCCTTTTCAATCTCTCAGGCACCATTAGGCAACGGTTCTCTGGACGAGTCTGGGTTGGCATTCCCACTCTTAGCTGTTAAATTCCAGGGGCTTTCCCGCCACCCCTATTGTGCGTGACACACGTATGAGCTGTGTCTGCAAAACACTAGGCTCCTAGGCCCTTAGCTTCATTGTCACTTGTATCTACATTTCATGTAGTTTAGGATGAATTAATGCTGCAACAACATTTACCCAGTTTTAAAAAGAGTTTGATTCTCTCCCCCAGGGCTACCAAGGCATGGTGGACGGTGGCAGCAATATTGTGGAAGCGGACTGGGAGAGCGTGTCCAGCATTCTGCAAGTGGTAGGTGCCGAGTTCCATAGATTGTTTCCCTCTCTAAGTAACTCTCTTTGTTTGAAATCTTTGGTCCTTATGTGCCAATCAGACTTAAAACAGATTAGTGTGCTGCCTGGCCTTATTTTTACCTGTTCAACAGGAAAGAAAACATTCTTAATGTGTCATTTAATTACATTTTGCAAAAACACTTTATATCATGCAAATGGAGGAATTATCCTTGCAATAAAGAGTCATGCATAATAGATACCATTCCTCATGGTACTTGTAGCAGATTTGGAGGTGTGTGTGTGTGTGTGTGTGTGTGTGTGGTGTGTGTGTGTATGTTTTATACCAGATAAATGTTAAGGCATTTTCATTTGTTGATGCTGCTGTGTGGCAAAAATCTGCACCTGCTGGGTTTTCTCAAGGTCCTTGGCATCAGGGTATCACAACCTGGGAGAGACCCCAGCCAGCGGCTCCAAGGGCTGTGGGTTTAGAGGCACAGAGCACCCTGCCCTGCCTGCTCCAGGCTGCATGGATTGCCTCAATGTGTCCAAGGGTGAGGTAATCACCACTTAAGGCAAAGAAACAGCTGCTTAGTTTGAATTTAAAAGACACCTGCCCCGATATTTTATGTTTGTGTTTAATTATGCCTAAAAGAATTTCCAGAACACTGTGTAGCTTAGCAAAAGCTCCAAACAGTTGAGAATTAAAGAGATCACATGGAGAGAATGAACTTCATGAAATGTGCCTGCGGTTTTATCTTTTGTAACGTATGTATTAATGTGTGACTCCTGTTGAGTAGTTTTTAATTGAAATAACCAAATAGATACATTCCCTATGAAGGTGCTAGTGCAATGGATGAATGGATGAAAAGTTTATGAAATAATATATAAAAAATAAATGGAATATTAGTTAGTCTTATAAAAAAAAGAACTGCAATATGGGACAACATGGATGGATCTTGAGGACATTGTGCTAAATATAAAATAAGTCAGACAGACAAGGACAAATACTGTATCATCTCACTTATATGCATAATCTAAAACACAGAACTCCTAGAAGCAAAGAATAAAGTGGTGTTTCCAAGGGGCTGGAGGGTCAGGGAGATGGATGGATGACGGCCAAAGGGTACAAGCTTTCAGCTATAAGATGAATACATTTTGGGATCTAATGTAGAGCATTGTGACTATAGTTGATAATGGAGTGTCACACACTTGAAATTTGTTAAGAGGGTGTAAGTGTTCTCACAGCACACACACAAAAGGTAACTGTGCGAGGTGATGAATGTGTTCATTTATTTGATTGTGGTAATTATTTCACAGTGTATACATATATTAAGTCATCATATCACATACCTTAAAAATGTTAACAATGCTTTATTATACACTTAAAAGTTTCTAAAAGAGTAAATCTTAAGATTTTTCACCACAAAAAACAAAGGTAACCATGCAAATTGATAGATGTATAAACTAATCTTATTGTGGTAATCATTTCACAATATATGCACGTATCAATGCATCAGATTGTGGACCTTAAGCTGACACAATGTTGTATGTCAATTATATCTTGGTAACTCTGGAGGAGATGACAGCAGGGTGTATGATTTAATACCAGTCACAGATCCGTAAGTCTACATGTAAACCTTGACTCTACCGCTCCTAGAAAGAGACCAAAGGAAAGATTTGCACCCATCAATACTTAGGCAGAATGATATTTGCAAAAAAAATCAGGATGGTGTTGTTCAAATTCCCGACAGCAAACTGTGTGTGCAAAAAAACCCCATTTCATTTCTGTTATTGTGGTTGTGCAGGAGACAGGAGATACAAATGTGATTGTGGAGAGTGTGTGTGCATGTGTGCATGCACTGCCTACTTCTCTGCCAGAATTATTCAATTCTGGTTTCATCCCTGAGGCCCCGGCCATATTATCTCCTCCCTGTTTATGGGCTGCTGACTTAACTTCCAGTTGTGAGAAAGCACATCACTGGCTAATTAATTGCTCTTGGTCAAATCGAAGTGCAGAGAACCAGCTTACCTTTGCTCTGTGCCCTGCACCTGCCACCCAGGCTCACCTGTGCTGTGTGGGCAAGTCATATGATCGTTCCTGTCATAATGACTCTTATTAACACAGGATCACTGTTGAGGAGTGAGTTCTCTGAAGTGAGCATGTATTTGAAGGATCGCATGCAAATTCCAGTTTTATGAGTGCATCCCTGGTGTATGCAAGGGAACCCTGCATTTTCTAAATACAACTAGCAATTCATTTCTGAAGCACCAAGTAGGAAAGATCATGACTTATCTCTCTGGAAGTTGGAATGACGTAACAGAAGTTTTTTGTTTGTTTGTTTGTTTGTTTTAAGATTTAATCTTTAAGAAGGGTTAGGGTTGGTGAGATGTAGTCAAAAAATAAATCTCTTTGGTTCACAGGTTCCTATTTTGCCTGTATGTATGGTGAGCTCTGAGTAACGAAAGGGGAGCCTTATTACCTGGGGCCACTGGCCGTGGCACTTCCCTGACCTACCGGCTGATGGCAGCACTGGGCCTGCCTGAGGCTCAGGGAGCACGGGGCCCAGGGGTCCTGTTGCCCCGTGCCGCACAGCCTCCTGGGTGGCTGTCATCGCCTTGTAAACTCTCTTATGCATGTTTAGCTGGCAGTGGTCCTTGTTTCCATACCCTACTTGGCTCCCCCTGGGCATGAAGCCATTGTCTCTATTGAATTCCAGGATGGAGCTAAAAATGGGAAAACAAGCGTTTGCAGTGGACCAACCGAAGAGATTGAAAGGAGGGAATCCTAACTTTGGAAAGTCCAATATCTACATCTGCACTCACACGTGCCGATCTATCCATTGTCCCCCCTAGTTGTTAGGAGACAGATAAACAGGATTTCATTTCTTTTTCAGGGTGGGACCATTATTGGCAGTGCCCGGTGCAAAGCCTTCCGTACCCGAGAAGGCCGCCTGAAAGCCGCTCACAACCTGGTGCAGCGGGGCATCACCAACCTGTGTGTGATTGGCGGGGACGGCAGTCTCACCGGGGCCAACATCTTCCGGGAGGAGTGGAGTGGGCTGCTGGAGGAGCTGGCCCACAGCGGTGCGTGTCCACATCCCCTGCGTCCCTCCCCTGACTTCTTTTCCCCTCTTCATCTTCTTTTCCCTGCAGAGAACTTCGACCTCATCCACCCTGCCTATTTAACTGTCGCTCAGGTATTCGTGGTATCAGATTTTACAGTCACCACCTCAGGACTTACATTGGACGTCAAATAATAACAATAATAAGAATCACGTTTATTTTGCTGTACTATGGTAAAAGTGTTGATTCCAATTTAATACAAAATATGACCAGTGGAATCATATTGCTGGAACTAACAGCCACTTCATGAAAGACCTAAACTTGCTCTGAAGTACTTGTCCTGAGTTCTGTAAAATCAGTCCTGGAAGGAGAGTCGCTCTCAGGTGCCAGCAGCAGGGGCCTCACAGCAGCTTCTGTCCACGTACTCTGGTCTGATACAGGCTGGGTGGTGACAAAGAGGAGGAATAGCCGCCTGAGTCCCTGCTTGGGCTGCCCCCATCCTTGACCACTCTGATTGGATTTAAGCGGATCTACTTACTCATCGGTCTTTTCTGAGGAAGTTAAGTAGGCAGTACCAACTGACTAGCCCCCCAAGGCCTATTAGAAATCAATATCATGGTTATAAAATATTTTTATGTGCTTAATTCTGGGATTGTGATGTCTCCTTACTGAGAGCTATGTTATCCTCTCTGGCCATTACCAGGCAGAAGTCAGATTTTACCCACAGATTGTAGTATGCAGACCGTCCCGCCATTGATTTTTACAGTCCCATGCTCTCGTCTATGACGTCTCCCTTCTCATCATCACCTCCACTGTTGTCTGGCATTTATTTCCAGGAGTGTAGAGAATTAGGTCATGGAGAATTTTGAAAAAACAGAACAACAGATGGGAAAAGTGTGTTCGGAGTCATGGGTTTCTCTATGCACCCCTGTCCTGTCCCTCACCTCGCGTGCCACGGGTCCGCGGGCTGCTCCCAGTGATGAGGGGTGTGTCTGTGTCCCCCACAGGCAAGATCAACAAGGAGGAGGTAAAGAAGCATGGATACCTCAACGTCGTGGGGATGGTGGGCTCCATTGACAATGACTTCTGCGGGACAGACATGACCATTGGCACTGACTCGGCTTTGCACCGGATCATCGAAGTTGTTGATGCCATCATGACGACGGCCCAGAGGTAGACACAGAGGAGCCAGTGGGCGGGCAGGCAGCATGGGGCACCCTGTGCACTGTGGCTAGGTGCTCATGCTGATTCTGGAAGGTTCCACAGCGGGTGTTCTGGTGCAGCTCCTGTTACTTAAGTATTAGAAACAGTGCAAGAAAATTGTCCTTAGGTTCACGTTTTACTTTCAGATTTATAAACTTACTTCCCTCTCCCCTCCCATTATAGAAGAAAAATGTGTTCATTGGAGAGAATTTAGAAGACAAAAATCATCATTATCTGAAGTCTTGCCCAGAGTTCTCCTGTAGAAATAGCAGCAAGCAAAGCTGTGTGAATGTCACCACAGCCCGGGCTAGAGATGTGGGGACGCATTCAGGTCCCCATCCTCTCACACAGTTGCATCTGTGACCTGCCATGCACTGAAGTGCAGATGAAGCGATGGCGCTTTATCCATGGTGATACAGACTCCATCCAACAAATGCTGTAAAACGTGGGCCTGGGGAGTGCACTCACCCTCCGCACCCCTTTACTCACAAAAGTTTGAGATTCCCTTGTGATAGCATTTGCTTCTGTAGAAAGAGGGTCCTTTTCTGGAAGCCCGGGCACCTGCCATAATCTTGGAGCAGCCTTTCCGTCTGACTTGGCTGCGCCAGCACTTGTCTCTGTGTGTCCTGTGCTCTTCCCAGCGGTGGTAAGAGGATGCTCCTTTGTCTGTTTTCCAGCCACCAGAGGACCTTCGTTCTCGAGGTCATGGGGAGACACTGCGGGTATGTGTGTGCAGACATGATTCGGGTGGAAGGGACCCTCCCACAGCCCCCTGGACAGCCCTGCAGCCCAGTGCACATGCTGCGGGGGAGGTTTGCCAGGGGCCAGGGGCCCCCGTGCAGGTTCAGCATTCCGTCTGCCCAAGGCGAGTCCTGGGTGCCCAGCAGCAGCCTAATGGGATCCTTGCTCTTCCCATGTAGGTACCTAGCCCTAGTGAGCGCCTTGGCCTGTGGGGCGGACTGGGTGTTCCTTCCGGAATCTCCACCAGAAGATGGTTGGCAGGAGACCATGTGCATCAAGCTGTCAGAGGTAACTTGCTCTCTGCCTCCCTCGACTCCCAACCATCCTCCCTGCCCCGTGCTGGCCGTGCCCTGTGAATGCCCGTAGGGTTTTAGTTTGGACAGAGTTTTAGACAGCTGAATGCTGTTGGGTTCTAGAGTGAATTTAAGCTGGGTGCATAGGACCTGCATATATGGGCTGATTGGCTGTTCACACGGGGTTTGCTTCCCAATGCTGCGACGAGTGAGGCAATGGAGAAACGGTAACAACCGTTCTGTTTCTCATGCAAAGCACAGTTAATTTTACCTGGAGGAGGGAGTGTGAAGTCACAGCTATTGAAAGAAATTGACGTTGGGAAGAAAACCTGTCTCTTGTTTTATCTCCACATACCACTATGGACAGACCTGTGTTCTGACTCGACTCTGAATTCCCCCACAACTCTGACATGTGTAACGACAGTCCCCCTCCGCTGTGTGTTCCCGCTGTGCCGGGCTTGATGTCAGGTTGACGAATTACTTTGAAGCAGACTTTTCCCTCAGGTCCGTAGTTTGTGGCATGGTCGTGTTTCACCCTGTGGATTATACACGTAAGGCAAATTTCCCTCTCATTAAGGTTTGTGAGGTCTCACTTGAAACAACAGCTTTCAGGAGAGGAACCTCAGTATGTGGGGGAATTCCTTGTGCTTTATTTTTATAACCCTCTTATCACTGGTCTACAGGGAAATGAGTCGATGGCATTGGCTAGTCACAGCTGTATACAGCAAACATATAAGCACTATGCATAGCAAGGACACACATGCAGTAAGACATTGCCTTCACCTTCATGGTACCAGATTTGAAGATGGGAATTCTTTACTTGGGAGAGCCAGGCCCCTGTTGGAAGTTGGAGCTCTTAGCTGGAAATAGACCACTGATTACAGGGAATGTCCAAAGTACACATGCTAGTATGGAAGTGATAAACGGGTTCCCAGTTGCTTGGTCTTGCCTAGGCACGTGGGCCATTCTCCGCCAACCATCTGGTGCTGGGAGATACGTGGCTGGTTGCATGAGACGAGGGCGGCACTCCTTCTAGATGGGCACCTCTGTGTGCCGCTGAGGACGCCTTTAATTACCATCACATGGGACGCGGCATAAGATCACAGCCCCCAAGGGCCTGTGCCTGTTTCTGTGAGCTATTCTCCACCTCTCAGACAGCCTCTGGCCTGGCCCAGGACAACGCTGTCACAGGCCAAGATCTGACGGCAGCCCTCGGAGATGGAAACACACCCTCCCTGTCAGGAAGTATGCACGTAGCAGGTCAGAGGTCAGTGCTGAGTCTGCAGCACTGACCACAACTGTAACTGTGTGGTCTTGCCTGCAAACTCCATGCGTTTCAGACTTTATAAGCTGCACTTTCAGCCAGGAAATGAGTCAGAATAGACCGCCCCCCTGAGTGTTGACGGAGTGAGGACCGATCGTTGAAACTCGCCTGTGCGTGGAAACACTTGATATTGTTATATCTGTAATTCATTTTCGTTGGTTGTTAATGTGGCACTGGGAGGATTTTTCCAAATATCTTTCTGCGTAAATTGGCCCAGGACGCAGACCCCAGGGCACCCCCACTGCAGGCATTTCCGTATAAAATTAGGAAAGATTCTGCGGAATCGGAAGGCCTGGGGTTGAGTCCTGGTCCTGCCACCCCCAGGGGCACATTGGGCACCTCGCCTTCCCGGGCCCTAAGCTCCTGGGCTGTGATGTGGGGGATACGTTGCTCCTTAGCAATTTTGTGACAAATGAGTGAGTGAGTCCAGCTGGGGAGCCATCAGACGTCCAGTGACCCACATAAACAAGGCCATCTCCCCACTTCAGTGTGCAGATGACTCCAATATTTCTCACCACCTTGGGGGTACTATTTTACAGAGGAAGTGTGGCTGTTTGGCTGAGCCCACATTTATGGACATGTCATTCCTTCTGATAATGGTTTTTCAAATGATGCTAAAATGATCACTCTTGAAGTCACATCTTTACACCTTTTAGAAAATTTCTGGTTAATACATTTTCCAAAGCGAAGTACATCTATTAATATCTATTTTAAAAAAAAAACAACCAAAGGGCATGTGTATTTGTGATCTCAGTTGCCAGATGGGCAGCCTTGTGAGGACAGCCCGCTCTGAGTGACGTCCCCTGGGCTCCGGGCTGGGCAGCTCCAGCACGGCCCCCTCGGTGCCTCACTGCCCCACAGCACTTGCACCCCCCAGTGGAGGGTCCTTAATGGGGGACTTTACAGAGAGCAAACCTGTGGTGAGTGACTGCAGGGCATCCTTGCAGGACTGCCCTGAGCCTGTGGGCGGCGGCAGCCCCAAGTGTCACGCAGGGGGGCCTCTGGCCTGGCTGGGCTCTGAGTTCTCCCACTTTCTCTCCTGTGCCCTCCTGCCTCCTGCTTGGGCAGGGCCCTGTCATCTGATCGCAATGGCCCAGAATTCCTGGGTTGGGGCAGTATTCCTGAGAGGTGGTTGGAAGCCTGGCTTCCCAAGGAGAGGGGCAGTGTAGTTTGCAGTGGAGACTGCTGGGGGAGCCAGACTGCGGGGACATCGATGTGTGGGGTCACAGCCTAAGGTCAGTGAGCACAGCCTCCCAGCCTGGGGCTGCCTCGGTGCCAACAGCTGTGGTGATGCCACTAGACCTCGAGGCTTCCCCGCCCACCCTCCTGCACCTGCCCACAAAGCACCTTTACTTTCTTCCTGTGTCCTTAGTAAACAGCACTTAGGAAATTAGGTTACAGTTTCTACCTGGCAAGAGGCCAGTTCAATGGGAACAAACCGGCCCTGGTTTTGTTAAAAATGTTTTAGGCATTAGAGGCTTTTCATTTTCTATTTCTTTAGAACCGGGCCCGGAAAAAAAGGCTGAACATCATCATTGTGGCTGAAGGAGCAATCGATGCCCAAAATAAACCTATTACCTCGGAGCAAATCAAGGACGTGAGTGTGTCCAGTTTCTCCCCTCTCTGCCGCCACCTGCCTGGAAAGGGGAGATGGTAACACAGCTGGCGGTGGGTGGATTTGGCATTATTATTCTGAAAATTTTTTCTTCACAATAGTAAAAATTATTTTCATACTGACTCATAACTTCAGTGGCATGGAGTTGTACAACTCCCGGCTTCTGGAGAACCAGTGAAGCTCGTGTTATTTTTGGGAATATCCCTAAGGGCCAGAGCTTCCAAATAGAGAGAGGGGAAATAGAACAGGGTGGGAATGAAGGGTCCAGCTCTGGGCGCCCGCTGCCCTCAGAGCCAGGAAGGTCAGCTCCCAGCAGCAAGCCCTCCCTCCCCGGGGAACACCAGCTAAGCGTGCTCTTGCAGAGAAAGCCAAGTGCTGGACATGAGTCACTGCCCCTCCCCACCTACAGAGGGAATGACACCACAGTCTTGTATCTGCAAAGCTCAACCTCGGGCGCTGGCTTGTCAGGCCTGTGACAGGATCGGCAGGGCTTCCCAGTCATAGAGGCAACTGGGCATGTGCTGGACACACCAGGGAGACAGACAGGCTCTGGGTGAAGCCACCCATCAGGGCAAAGGATGTTATCAACTTGGCTTTGCAAGTTGGTTTCTCTCTTTTGCCTTCTTTATTCCCATACCAGCTGTACACTTAAATTTTAAAATATTGAGAGAGACCTGTGAAAGTTATCAGCCAATATTTCTAAGTATTAATGGCAAACAGCACCAGATGTTAGACTTCAGCTCTTGAGTTTTGATTAAGACAGAATCCAGAGCCAAGACTCAAATACAAGCAAAAGTTTATTTAGAAAGTTACAAAGGCAGAAGAAGTGAGCTGTAGGAGAAGCAAGCCCTCTGGGTTGCATGGGCCCAGGAAACAAGTTACTGAGGCTAAAGAAGGGCCCTTGGACCGTAGGAGAGAGAAAAGACAAAGGAAATGCACCTGGGTGAAGAAAGCAGGGAAAGGTGTAGACATGCTCCAGAGAGAGAGAGAGAGAGAGAGAGAGAGAGAGAACGAATGCTGGGGAAAGTAGGGGGCGAGAAAGGTGCAGATGTGCTCGAGAGAGAGGGAACCTTGCCAAGTCCTTTGTTTTGAGAGCTTTGATCTGGAGGCCGTCAAGGACGATCTCAGTAGAATATTCATTAGCTTTTCAAGTGTGTCACCTCAGGGTCATGGTCTCCACTGATTGGTTGGCACCAGGGCAGAGGATCATTAGTCATTGCAAGTGGCTCTGATACCAGCCATGGTGTCACCCTGCCTGGCTTTGCTGCTTTTCTGGGCCAGGAGCTGAAATGCAACTGAGGTCTAGACGTTATCTCTAGTTTGACCAACCTCTCTGTCTGTGATTAACAGGCTCAAGGCTTTGTTGCTAAGATTACTTGATGTGAGTCAGTGTCTTGAGGGCTTAGTGCTTAAGGGAGTGATCAGGCAAGGGCTCGTATGAAAGTTAGATGAGGCTTTCCTCAGACTTCCTTGTTCTTCCTCTAAGGGGGTCTACTGCATGACCAGTAATATGGAAGTTCAGGGGGTCTAAACTACATGACCAGTGATATGTTAGGGGAGGAAGGGTTACCCTGGAAGTGAGGTCCAATTGTCTGCTGCTAGGTACCTCGGGCTTTCCGCACTTCTGCACCTGGCTTATGATTCCTACTCTGCTCTTGCCTTCTGAACTGCTTCCTATATCACAGGAAGTAATCTATAAAGTCAGAGCAAAGAATTTGCTTTCCCGCTTAATCAAAGTTGAGATTGAACTGTGGACCATTAGCAAGAAGGACCATGGTCCTTCACAGAGCCCAACTCCATTATTTTTAGAGGAGGGAATGAGGTCCAGATATGTGGCCTGTTCCAGCCACCCAGCTCTGTTTGGGATCTGGCCCAAGGGGGCACATGTTTTCCAAATACAGCTATACAAATGTAGGGCAATTCAGGGAATGTTCACATTTTTATAAAGTATTAATCATGCTTTCAACACAGGCTATAGAAACTTTTTTTAAAAAAGTCATATGGGCTCATTTGTGAGGTAGGTAACATCAAAATTCTATTTGATAATAAAGGCATTATCTTAAAACTTTTCAGCTAGCCATTAAAGTAAGCATTCCTTCAAGAACCAAAGTTGAGGAATTAGAACATTTCCCACATGGATCTAAAGGAAGAGTAGAAAACTATTTTTCAGATCCAGCCCTGGTCCCCCAGTGGGAGCTGATCTGCCTGCATGTGTTCTCTGTCCCCTGACGGAGTTGTTTCCCGCAGCTGGTGGTGACACAGCTGGGATATGACACGCGAGTGACCATACTTGGACACGTGCAGAGAGGTGGGACGCCATCAGCCTTTGACAGGATTTTGGTAAGTGAGAGTGAAAAATGTCTGGCAAATCACAAGGAAAGGAGCATTTCTGGGAACACAAAGGAAGCAACTTGCACCAAAGACTGACAGCTGTTCGGTAGTGCAATGCGGCAAACGTATCTGCCTGCAGCGTGGGATGGCTGGTCTCCGAGATGCTCCAGCCCTTGTTGTCATTGTGAGACTCAGGCCACACGGCTTTCCAGGACCCCAGTTGCCCAGACTCTGAGAGACCCCACCCCACATGGACAGTTGAGGATGACAACGACTTCAATACCAAGCCCAGAATGTGGGAGTGTGGCATTCATGCACAGATTTCTAGGAACAGACCCAGAGTCCAGGTCCTGGATTGTTAATCTTCACTGCTCTTCATACTGCAGACCCTCCCCTCCCCTCCTTTCCTCTCCTTCCCATCCTGGCCAGTTCTTAGTGCCCAAATCTCTCTGCCGGAGGTGGGTTAAGCAGGGCAGATGGGTACCTAATTGCAACTCAATTCCAGAGAACAGGAGGGAAGTTGAGGCTGGATGTTTTTAGGACACCGTGGGGCTGTCTCAGCAACAGGAGCCAGGGCCCATGAATGCATGTGTCTGGGGGTACCGAGGGGGTCTCCTGTAAGAACGCTGTCTTGGCCAGGCGGTGGGCTATCTCTGACTCTCGTGAATGTCTTTTCCAGGCCAGCCGCATGGGGGTAGAAGCCGTCATTGCCCTTCTGCAGGCCACTCCAGAGACCCCGGCCTGTGTGGTGTCGCTGAGTGGGAACCAGGCCGTGCGCCTGCCCCTGATGGAGTGTGTGCAGATGGTGAGCCAGCCGGGAGGAGGGGGCACACAGCACCGCAGGCACCTTTGTCCCTTGTCTGCTGCCGACAAGCCACGCAGGGAGTTTAGTGACCTTATCCAGGACATTTTGAACTGCCCTGTGGGTGTGGCAACAAGCTCTGTATCTCCTGGACTGGTTCCCTTCGGGCAGCTTATGCCTTCAGGATGGATTGCTGGGAGGATCCATGAGCCTTTCTGTCAACAGCTGAAGAGGAAATGCAGGAAAATGGCTGCGAGAAACCTGCAGGGTGGGCTGCACAGGGAGTCCTTGGCCTCTCACATTTCAGCTGCTCCTTCCATCCTGTCCCAGTGATGTTCGAGTCTGTTCTTAAGATATGACACTGACATGGCCACTTCAGGTGGCATTCCAACACGCATGTACCTCCTCCAGGCCCTGGGCTGTACTTTCCCACCTCAGTGTCCGCTAAGGCAGGCAGCAGTGAGTTGCATTAGAAATTGTTCTTATCTTTTATTTTTCCAAGTCTGTTGATGACTATCATCCTACTTGGTCTTTTTCCATTGCTCCAAAGTACATGCATTTTATAACATATACAGAGAGGTGATTAACTAATTAAGTCATGGGGCATGTTGGAAGTTACTTTAGACACATCACTTCCAAAAGCCTATGGGAGGAAATTAAGCCTGTGTGTGTGTATATCCATATGTGTTTGCATGTGTGTCTGTCTTCATGTATTATGTGTTTGTGCTTTTTTGTCTAAGCCTGTGTCCCTGTATATGTCTGCATGTGTGTTCATGTGTGTGTATACCTGGGTGTCTGTATGTGTTGTTTGTGTGCATGTGTTTGTGAGAGAGTGAGATGACAGGCTTAAGAGAATCAGGACATTGAACTATGTGCCGTAGTCTGTTCTGAGCCTATTTCTCATGTCTAGTGTCTGTTCTTTCAGAGACAAACATGTAGGTATGATCTGGCTTGTCCGCCAAATGGCCATACATTATGGCGATTCAGCCAGATGGCTCACAAAAGCCACAGTGAGCCCTCCATTGGCATCTGCTGTTTGCTAGGTGTTTTCCTAAGAGTCTGGTGTGTTTTATAGCCACAGGCAACACTAGAGGTAGGGGGTGTCCTCCTTATTGTACAGATGGGGAAACTAAATAACTTGCCCGAGAGTCTCAGGTTGAAGGGGCAGAGCCCAGGTCCCAGTCGTATGTGTTGTCTCCAAACCACTCTCCTTTGCCTGCTGAGACCCCATCGGGGTCCCCCAGCTCCAAGCACAGGTGGTCCTGTTTGCTTTTTCCTCACCAGAATCCAACTAGAGATTGGCCAAAACCTTGTCTGAGAGATGCATTTCCTTCTGGCTCTGCTGTCATGGAGCCAAATCCCTCAGGTTCAGGACTTGCTGCCCTGGGATGGTTGGCAGGGCCACCGCACCATTTTCTACATAGTGACCTGGGTTAACGGCCCTGCGTGTCTCCCTCATAGCTGGGCAGTGGCAGGCCGGCTGCCGCCCAGTGTGGGCTGCTGACCTCAGACGGCCTGCCTACCTGCCTAGAAAGTCGGGTGTGAGAGGAACAAGGTAGAGGCACCGAGCTGGACCTGAGGCTGCATTGAGTCCTGATCTGGCTTTCTTCCTCTTGTCATCTCTTTAAAGACCCAGGACGTCCAAAAGGCGATGGATGAGAGGAGGTTCAAGGATGCTGTGAAGCTCCGAGGAAGGTGACTATTTGAAAGAAGACTCCGTTACGGGAACATGTGCTCGACAGCCTGGCCCTTCACAAGGCCCTGCGAGGCTGTCCATTCACAAGGCCATGCAAGGCTGTGCTTGTGTCTCCCTGTAAGAAGTCAGAACAAAGGTGTCAGGCAGGTGCCATTTTGGCAGGTTGAGGGCCTGGATGATTAGTTAGGGGGAAATGGTTTATACCTTTGCTTATTTGCAGAAGGGGTTGTCATCAGAATGTAATGAGATTAAGATAGCAAGTGACAAGTGGCTAACGTGTAGGCAAAGAAACCCGAGAAGTACTGGATGCCTTTGTCCCTTAGCCCAGTTACATGATGTGTGTCCCAGGTACCTGTGTCCCCGTGAGGGCAGGCCGGACATGGGGACACAGGAGCCCCTGCCCCTGAGGGGCAGAGCAGCATTTGTAGACCATCTTCCCCCGGCACCATTGTTTCCTGCGCCCTGCCTCTTGCGAGCTCCCTCCTGTGCCGTACACATTCTAAATTTGGCCCAACAACGTCTTTTTCTTTTAGGAGCTTTGAGGGCAACCTCAACACCTACAAGCGGCTCGCCATCAAGATGCCAGACTCCAAGATCCAAAAGGTGGGTGACGATGCTGCATATTGGCTCCCAGAGGTGTCCCTGACAGTCCCCACTGACCCTGTCCTTGGGCCGCCTTCCTGCCCTGGACAGTGGTGTAGCCTTCCTGCACTAGGCCATGCCCTCCTGGCACCTGGTGGTGGGCAGGGACACCTCTGGTGTGTGCATGGAGTGTTGTCACACCTGTGACAGGTGCCATGTGCCCCCTGTCTTGCAGAGTGGCTTCAATGTGGCTGTAATCAATGTGGGTGCACCAGCTGCTGGGATGAACGCGGCTGTGCGGTCGGCCGTGCGGTTTGGCATCTCAGAAGGACACAAGATGTATGCCGTCTATGATGGCTTTGAGGGCTTTGCCAAAGGCCAGGTGGGTCCCTCAGGAGGCAGCTGGCGAAGGGATGTCTTGGATGGGGGTGTCGTGGGGAAATGGGGGAACTCGGGGGTCCATGAGGAACACAGCAGCTACTCTTTAAGGACAACTGCTGCTTTAGGACACCATCCTAAGAAAGGGCCTTATTGCTCCTACAGGATTGACATGTGTCATCCAGTTTAAATCTCACAATACATCTGGGATATCATCCCCATTTTCCTTATGAGAAAACTAGACACAGAGACTTTAACTTGACCGCCGTCACACGATACAGGATTATAAACACCATGGTGAGGCTGCAAGCCCTACACCCTCGACCAAGTGCATCCTGGGAAGTGCCCAGTGCTAGAGAGACAACAGGGAGGGGGCTGGGTGAGCCCTTGGGGGGGTGTCTGCACTAAAACACTAGAGGCAGATGCTGCTGGGAGGTGATTTCAGACTCAAGGTCAAAGGGCTGAGTGAGCCGCCCACAGGGACATTGAGCTGCTGTTCCAGGCAGACAGAGGGCACCTGAGGTGTTCAGAGATGGCAGGGGCTGGTGTAACTGCAGCAGGAGAGTGAGGGGTGGGGAGAGAGCAGGAGGAAGGAGACAGGGCAAGTCCTTCCTTCATAGGAATTGTAAGGAGTTTGACTTTTATTCTGAGAAGACGGGTTATGAGCAGGGGTTTGGCACATACAGATTACAAAGAGCAGAAGTGGGAAGTTGGGAACTAGTCAGGGGCCTTCCTCAGTAACCCAGACAGGAGGTGTGGGGGGCTTGCCAGTCTGGCAACAGTCGAGTGGAAAGACATCCCCTAGGGATCTTGAATGTATTTTGAAGGCAGAGCCAATAGAATGTGGTCACTAAATGTGCACAGGGGTGACAAAAGGAGATGGGCATGACTCTGTTTCTGGTCCAAGTTGCAGCTGATGGACATGAGGAAATATAAGAGGCGCTGAGATTCCAAGATGTTAACTGGGGTATCTGGTGGGCATCCTGGGGGAGGTGTCCAGTGAGCAGATAGAGAGCGTGATCTGGATCTTCGAGAGATGTGTGCTAAAGATGCACATTTGGGGGGGCATCTGATTACAGATGGTATTTCAAATTATGCCATAGAGAGGCCCCCAGACTGTGAAAAAAGAGGGCTTTTCTGTTAAGAAGAGAGAGGGGAGCCCTAGCAGGCAGGAGGCTGAGGCATGCTGAGGGGAGGTAACACACACCTAGCTGGTATCAACTGTCCTTTTAGTTTTTTAAAATTTTAATTAAAGAAGTTTTCTTCTAATCTTATGTCAATTAAAAAGCAATAATGTTAGTTTCTCTTTTCATTCCCCATGGTAGAATTTGGCCAGCTAAAGAATTCATCTATTCCCCTGACAGAGGACTAAGATGCAGAGACACTATGCAGGCAGGAGGGCTTTCTGTCTCATGGTTGGACCTTAGCATCTGGTTTGTGTCTTGACTCCTTCAGCATCGTGAAGGAGGCCGTCCCCTAACACATCACAACTCCTACAGGCAGGCAGCTCGCTGGAGGTGTCGACCTCTGAGCTGTTCATAAAACTTCTAATTCCCTTCCTTATTCACTTGAGACATCTCATTCCCTGTTTGCACTTTAGATAAAAGAAATCGGCTGGTCAGATGTCGGAGGCTGGACCGGACAAGGTGGCTCCATTCTTGGGACAAAGCGGTAATTTCCTTCCTTGATTCTGACCTGCTTTTAGGAGGAAGAAAGGCCATATTCTAGAGGAGCAGCTGGTGCACATGCTGTAAAGGGTCCCAAAGGAAGATGACTTTGGTGCACATCCTGGCCCCACCCAGGAAAGTGCTGGGTGATGTTAGGGTCTGAGGCTGACCCGTGCCCTTGAAAGGAGACACAGCAGATAACTCATGCGCTGTTTCCTCCCCAAACCTCATCTATCCACTGGTTTGGAGAATCAGAAGGCGGGCAGAAATCCTCCAGTTCATTTGAGGGGGTACAGATGAGCAACGTCTCTGAGCCATGGGGACTGTGCTGTGTGAACCAGAATTAGAGCATGTTCGGTAGTGGCTTAGTGTCGCAGTGTCGCTGGAAACAGGCCGGAGTGGCCCCGGTGCTAGAGGCCAGTTCCCCTCACCAGAGGTGTGACCTGAGTGATTCTAGCTCAAAACACAGGTTTCGGAATCACAGTAAGCTTTCTGTTTTTCAGCATAGCTGGGGGGAGAATATGTATTTGAACCAGACACAGTTTTTTAATATTAAGTCTGAGTCTTTTCATCTTCGATGTCAGGAGTGCAAGTTGATATCAGTTGTTACTATTCCTTCCATTTTATATGGAAGGAAAATAATTTGTATGTAAGTCTAGTACATATTGGGTCCTATATGAGCGTCAGCTCATTGTCCCACAGAAACTGCCCCACCCTCCATTTTGCTTTGAAACCAGGGCACCTGTGTCCCCAGCTGCTCGCATGGTCCGCAGGGCTGGTTCTCCCCAGTCATTGCCGTCCGGTCCTCCCAAGCGCCCGCAGCGTTGGTGTTTGGGCAGCAAAGCCCTAATCAGAAGCAACCTCTGCAGCCTGTCGGTGAACCTCAGGCACCGTTTGCTTTATGTGCCATCTTGTCATAGCTCTGGGTGAGCTGGTAGCAGCTCCTGATGATATTTCAAAAACTTTACTGTAGACACTGGGAGGGACCTTGTCGTTGACACCATGCCAACTGTGTGCCCTGATGGCCAGGCCTGAGTATGTTCACCCTATGGCTTCTTATGAGTCTACCAACAGTGTGAACTCTCTGCTTCCTTCAGTCGACATGACAGACTGTCAGGTGGCCCTTGGGGTGGGGCCAACTAACATTGGTCTGACTTCACTTGTTGGCTATATTTGAAACAGGTGATGAAACAGGAGAACAGCACGTAGGACTGGGTGTGACTTTAAACACTAGGTTGGATAAAGTACAAACTGGAAGTTCCCTTTTAAATGGTATTTGTTGCGAATATTTGCAAGTTACTGTGGGTCATTTTGTTGTTTTTTTTTCTTTTGCTAACGAAACTGTAGGATTCTTTTGAGATGAAGGTGTTGGACAGCTGTAAAGCTTCTCCCTGTTTCTCTTTGAAACTATGCTCTTTTGGGACTTGATCCCTGGCCACTCCCACTATGGGTGGCTCCATGGCACTGCTGTCCACCAGCCACGGGGAGAAGGGGACAGACCTTCCACTGCTCAGTGCCACCCAGCTCCACCGCGGAGGTGGGTGTTTTGCCCACCGTGTGAGGCCTCTCTGACCTCATGTCTCTTGAACTATTTTTAGGACACTTCCCGGGAAGTACTTGGAGGAAATTGCTGAGCAGATGCGCACCCATAGCATCAACGCACTGCTGATCATTGGTGGGTTTGAGGTACGTCACCGTCCCTGTTCACCAGTTGGCTCATCCATGCCGTAGGCTTGAACGGTGGCCTGTGCTGGCTCCACCCAGCTCCTCATGGACCGGAGTCACAGAGCCCCAAGCCCAACTGCCACTGGACAACTGTGACACCGAGCATAGCAGGTGGCAAGACTCACCCAGAGGGAAATGACGCTTGCCTCCTTGATTGGGGCTCAGCAGTTCAGTGAGTTATCGTGTCTTCCAAGTCTATAGAAATAATTCTCTCTCTGGAATTCGAAGCCTACTGGCTAGACAGAGATGGAAGGAGTTATATGGCCAGATCATTTTTTTTTATCCCATATTGGACTGTAGACCTTAATTTATTTTCCTGTTCAACCAAGATCAATCCCATGAAAACCTTATGATTTCCTTTCAAGAAAATGCAGAAGTCTCAACTTCTCAGTTTGTCAATAAGAAAGTTAGTCTTGCATGTACATGACGATATCCCATGGGCCCTTTTGTGCTTAAAAAACTGCTTCCCCTGCTGTGACGTTAACATGTTTCCACGCTGACTTTCCAGCAGCTTTATCGGTGCCCATCTGCTGCCTCCCCGCCCCCCAACTGTGTACACTTGCCCCACAGGCCTACCTGGGATTGCTGGAACTGTCCACCGCCCGTGGGAAACACAAGGAGTTCTGTGTCCCTATGGTTATGGTTCCCGCCACCGTGTCCAATAACGTGCCGGGGTCCGATTTCAGCATCGGTGCCGACACCGCTCTGAACACCATCACTGATGTAAGTCTGTGTGGCAGCAAAGCAGGATAACTGAAGTGGCTACTAACTGAGGGCTCCTGGCCCGTTTTTTATCTACCAGTACCCTAGAGACCCGAACCCGGTCTCAGTTGTTTGCTTGCTTCTAGAAAAGTAGTTTTAAAAAGTCTGATCATCTCTGATCCAGCTCCCAAAGTTTCCTTCCTCTCCTTTCCTGTGCTGCGGCCAGGGTGATGTGCCCCGAAGTGACAGTGAGCATCTGCCACTTAGGTACTCATGGGTCACACTGTTTTGTGATTTGGATAATCATTAAAATTAGTTTTGTGGGTTTTTTTATTTTTGCTGCATCAAATCTACTTCTAGCCTCTGTCACTTTGCTGTGGTGAATCCTGGGTCCGATGGCCCTGCTTTGATGTTTGAGGATAGAGCCTGAGCTAAATATTTTGTAATTTTATCCATTGACCTGAATCCACCTTTAGTGTTTGCTGTCCTTCTGGCTGAGCCCATTAGCATCACTCTCCCCTTTGTAGATTGGGGATGTTAAATCACAACTATACAATGTTGGTGCTGTTTAAGGGTTGTTTTATGTTCTTTGCTAAATGGGGATAGCAGAGAAATACATTTGCAAATGATACTTGGGGAACCACGTGGGAGTCTGAAGATCAGTATCTAACATAGAATGCATTTTTAAAAGAGAACTTGGTGCCTAAATTCCTTCAGTAAATTCTGAAGTTTTATTTTTATTCTGAGACCCAGATCTCATGAATGACTTTCTAAGATTATTTTTCCTTAAACCCACTGCATCAGTTTTGTTTCCAGTGCTGGTAAATAAAAAAAAAAAAAAAAAAGCTTTTAAAATAAAATTCCACGGTAAGTAATGCTTACTGCTTGTTTGTTGCTTTTCTGAGCTTCTTAAACTTTCTGCAATTTTTTTTTTTTTTTTTTTACTAAAAAGCCCTGCCCTCTGTGGCCGTGCCCCCCGTACCGGAGGTCCGTCCTGTGGGCACCCCTACCTGCTTGCTGGCCCTGCTCCTGCCGTCCTGTGCCTGTCATCCCCACTTCCCCTGCTCTGGAATAATTCCTCTCCCGATGGATCTCAAACTGTGAATTGCAAGGTCCTGTCTGTCGCAAATTGAACTTCATCTTCGCTTGTATCGTTCTTTTATTTCCCTTGTTGAATTTTGAATCTGATTATGCTGAGCTTGTAGTAAAAGCAACTGGAAGTTCGTTTTCCTTCATTGTTACCGAAACAGAACCCTGGTGGGGCAGTGCTTTGAAGGGTGTCATCTGCAGGTCCTGTTGTTGGCATTTATTCCTTGTGGGATTTGGTACACGCTATCAGGCATGAAGACAAGACTCTCCCACTTTGTAATTCCAGGCTCCTCTGCTACAAAGAATTTTTTCCAAGATTACAAAAACCTAATACTTACATGTGTGTTGTTGAAAATTTGGAAACCAATATATATAGGAAAAAGTGCTCCAAATTACCCATCCTGCTTCCCTTGGGGAGGGCCTTTGGGGTTTATTCCTTGGCCTTTTGAGTTTGGTGTTGCATTCATTCAGTTTCTCGAAGGCGGTGTAACCACCATGCTGTCGGTGGTTTTCTGTTGGTGACATGCCAGGCCACATTTGCTGGGTGAGCCAGGAGGTCTTGGTGGTGTCATGGCTCTGGTTCTGGTTGGTGATCCAGGATGGGGGGAAGTCAGGGGGACCTTCTCTTGGGCCTGGTCTGTGTCCCCTAAGCCTTCAGGGAACAAGGTATGGGCGTGGCATGTAGAAACTGCTATTTCTTCCAGAGTTCTGTCTTTTAAGGCCAGAATGAAATTGACTCCTTCTTAGGTTGAGATTTAGGTCGGAACTCAGCTGGGCTGGCTGCCATGAAAGGGAAAGGGGACGTCCTGGGGCCTGGGGCCTGAGCCAATGTGACACAGTGCTCTCTGTCCCTCCTGATCTACACAGAGGGTCCAGGAAGCCCTTGGGGATCAAGGCCAGAACAAGTGCAGCATCAATGTGTCCACCTTGCTCAGTCACTCTTTCCCAGACACGTCACCTGCAGGTATCCTGATGCTCTGATGACAGTAGTGCCAATAGCTCAGCCCTGGGAATACTTAGGGTGCAGACTTGGGGCATCTCCACTGCCAATGGCTCCTTCTGGTCAGGGAGCAGGGAGGTTTTCACCTGGTGGCAGTTTTGCCCCGAGGGACATCTCCTGTGTCTAAGGACTTTTTTGGTCCTCAAAACTAGTCAAGGTGGTACCTCTGGCATCTGGTGGGTGGAGCCCCTGTGATGTAAAGACACCTCCCCTACAATGTAAGGACGTCCCCCAAACAAGGAGCTATTGGCCCAGGATGTCAAAAGTGCCGAGGGTGAGAAATCCTGCGATAGTCTTAGGCAATCAGCTGCTGCATCTTTGCATGTTTAGTCATCGTCCTCACAATCGTTCGTTCTTGCCAGCACTTAACTCACAGGTCCATTGCAGAAAACAGGTCCCCGTGCATTTATTGCAGCAGGGAAGCGAAGGGCGTCCAGGGCAGAGCAAGCATTTGGAGTCACTTCAGGCTTTCAGATGGATGCTGTCCATGCCCCAGAACCAGACACTATTTAGTTAGAACACAGGGACGTGCACTGAGTTCTGTGGAGCCAGGAAGGTTGTAAAGGTGGCCAGGATCACAGCTCTGCTATCAACCAGGATTATGATTGAAGAGACTGGAAACCAGAATTGTTCCCCATAAATCCATCCAGTCTCTTTTCTCGGAGTGGACCGCTCCAGTGTCCAATGTCACTTTATGCCATGGTGACATGTTTCCACTTGGACCCTGAGGCAGGACATGGGTGGGTCGAAGGGCGTGTCATTTAGAGGTGTCAGGTAAGTTAATGAACCCCTCCTCACCTTCCTCTTGGCTCCCTGGACTAACCCACCACAGGTCCACCATCCACACATTCTCAGGCCCCAGGTGCCCTTGAACCCGTTTCAAGAGAACCACGGGACAGCAGAGGTAGCTGCCTTCCAGGGGGCCTGGGTCCCAGCCTGCCTCTTACCTGACCTTCCTGTAGCAGGGTGTACAGTGGTCACATTAAGGGGATAAAGACCACACATGGGTCTCTTTGCCCACAAATGTCCACCAAGCTGTGGCTGTGTTTGGAGCTTCGTGAACCTGAGGACGGTGGGCACTGGGCCTGTGTACTAATGAACTGCTTTTATTAACACTCGAGGCAGGTGATCCAAATCTCTGCCATGTCCCCAAGAACAGCTGGCTTTTTTAACATCACAATGGAACAGTTTCACCATGGTGTTCCAAAGCAACTTGGGGCTCTGGCTCCTCTATGCTGCTTTGTGTACAAATTGCAAAAGGACAAGCAGGGAGGCTTTCCTCCTAACAGGGACAGGTGACTGTCTCCAGCAGGGCCACGTAGTGGCCACATCACTAACGGTGGGTCGTTTGTAGAGTCCTAACAGCAGACCCTCATCCTGCTTATTGCAGGGAGTCACCAGATTGGGGGGCCCTTAGATTCTCCACCTAATTGGTTTGCCTCACCTCGGAGATGCCAAGAAAGGCCAGCTGTTTGGCCACTACTAACCTCGATGCCGCTTTCGGCCCTGCTTTGCTGCCTCCTGCTTGCATCCCCTTGAGCTGGGTGGTGAGCGCCCTGCTGAGTCCCACACCCCACGCCTGCTACACTGGCAATCCCCATGCCGAGGCCAGCACCCGGGCCCCATCAGGCCACCCTGCTCTCACATGGCACTAGCCTGCAGCTTCCTTTCCCTGCTGACAACACACAAAGGAGCTCAACCCCACCTGCTGATGGCAGGTGAGGTGCCAGACACCTGCTGACCAGCCACACTGCTGCTTCAGGCTTTCCAGAGCTTGATCACGTTCGCCCAGGCACGTGGCGACCACCAGGAGCTTTGCATCCCCATGTGTGTCCTGCCTGCCACCATTAACAACAATGTCCCTGGCACAGAGCTGAGCATTGGCTGTGACACCAGCCTAGATGTGATAGTAGAGGTAAGGACGTCCCCTCGTGTCTGCCTTCCCATTTGTTTCTCCTGCCCCAGGAGCACAGCCGGCAGGAAGAACTTGGAAGGTCTTTCCCTGCCAGAGGAAACTGAACAGGGAAACTTGGCCAGCCATCCAGAACGAATGAGCCAAATTTATTATTCCTCCTTCCCCCCTTCCCTCTTTATCAGGAGATTATATCACATTTGTGATATAACACAAATGTTATATATCACAAATGTGATATAACAAATGTGATATAATGAAAAAAAAAACAGGGTATTTTTTCCAGCTTCTGTCCCACCTCAAAGAGAAGCCCGAGAGCTCACAGGCCTGTGCTGTGGTGGCCAGATGTAAGGTCTGTTAAGGATCTCAGAGCAAGTCAAGGACATGAGACAGGGTTAGGGGATGAGCGAGTGCGAATGTTCTAGAAGAGTAGGAGGTGTCTTTTCTCGCCGAGTAGGTGGAGCTTCAGGGGCTAAGACAGTGCTCTGCTGGAGTTTTGGGACCTGGCAAGTCCTGCACCTGGGCTAGTGTCCCTATTCTGTCATGGGAACCAACGTTTCTCTGAGCCACCAACCCACTTGGTGTCCACTCAGTGCCAGGCTCTGCTCATTGTCAGGTCTGTGTGGCCAGTGAGTGGACCTGAGGCCCCTGCTGGGGGGTGCAGTCCTCCCCCCACCCAGAGAAGGGAAGAGTGGCCCGGCTGGGGGCTGTGACAGTGACCACCCAGCAGAGGCGTGGAGTGTCCTTTAGATAGCCACTTCTTGTGCAAAGCCCTGACTCGGTCGCAGAGGTCTCCTTTCAGAGTGGCAGGCCCTGAAAAGTCAGCCATTTGGGTCCAAGTCCATTGTCCAGAGTTGAAGGAAGATGCAGGGAGAGGCCAGCAAGGGCTGTCGTTAGGCCCACTTGCCTGAGTTTCTGGCCCTTAAACTGATGGCCACATTTGAGCTGCTTTCTCGCTCATTTTCTCACTGAAGCTGCCGGTGGGAGATGGCCTTGCTCTCAGCCTCCCAGTGGGGCGATGGCCTCTTTCCAATTTGGAGGCTCCTATGGGCCCCGCACTTTGCCTCCTTGTAGTTCTGCTTCTTTGCAGATAAAATACAGTCATAGACCCTTAAAGCAGCCACTGGCCGCTGGGTGCTAGAGGTTCCAAGTGTCCCCCTTCCCACCTCTGCAGGCACAGGCAGCATCTCCCAGTGGCTCACCCCGCTTCTGCCCTTGGGCTGCCCCTGGCATGTCACTCCAGATTTGCCATTGGTTGGCGCTTTGCAGGGGGTAGGGGGACCTCTCCTGGCCTTGACTAGCCTCGTCCGGCCCTAGTTCAGCCTACAGTCCCCCTCCCAGGAGCACGAGTCCTGGGAGGCTGACCTAGCCTGTTACAGGACAGGACCGACCGTGTCTCCACAAGTCCACAGGCTTTTTCCTATCTTCACATCATCCTAAGTGCCACTTTATCTTTCCACACTCCACTTATATTTTTAAAACACCAATATGGCAAAAAATTAGCATCATTGGCACTGTAACTTGAAGTTTTTCCTCCAGTGGGACACTGCCCAAAGATTTTTCATGAAGAGTCATCTGTCAGCCACTGGTGAGTGTCAGCGTTCGCAGGAGGGGACATTCCCACAGTGAACACGGCCAGTAGGGCTGGTGGGGTGTCCAGGCCAGACAGGGGTGTCTGTCCTCATTGATACCTTTCTCTCACCCAAAGTCAGACTCCAGCTCGGGGCAGGGGCGCATCTGCTGCTGTGGCCTCTCACTCATCAGTACTCCTTTTAGTAACCGAATGAGATGGGCTGAAATGACGACCTATTTTTAGAAGAAAGGAATTCAGACCCTCAGGCCCAACCACGGTGATGTGGAGGGAGAAGTTAGGAATGCGCAGCTGAGCTGCAAGCAGAGGCTGAGGGCGCCAGCCAGCCGTCCCTGCTCTGACACTCAGTGGCTCAGAGGGAACTGAGGCCTTGGCCCAGTCGTCCGGGTCCCTCAGGCCCCTGACCTCCTTCATGGCAGCTTCGGTGCTAAGAGACGTTCCCTTTCATGTTGGCCTCACAAGAGAGCCTCTTTGTCGGCACATTCTTCTGCCATTCAGTGGTTATAAAGCTGTCCTCCACACTGGTGACAGTGATCTCCACCTTAGGTGGCCTGCTGGGGAGAACCCCATGACGCCATAGCTCTGGGGGTACCTGGGCATCCTGCCCACATGCGCAGCCCTGTCCTGTCCTCCGCCCTCCCAGAATTCTTCTGAGACAGAGATTGTGCAGAACAGTGTAAGTGCTAGAATGCCGCATCAGAGACCCAGAGCAAGCCCCCCGACAAGCCCCCCAGAGTTCTGTACCTGCTCAGGGGTCTTCAGGTGCCTGTCTATTTCCATCCCCACCCATGTCGGAACCGGGAAGACAAGGATTGGCCACATCGGTGTCTATTTCCTCCTCCTATCTCAGCTCCTAGGGATTGCAAAGTGGCCCACCAACTAAAGCACATGCTGAATTTGGAATAAATCAATCTAACTTTATTGGGGAAAGGTGAGGCTCCATCCAAGAAATTGACAGCGTAGTTAGGAATGATAGCAGTTGGCCCTGTGTGTGAAAATAAAAATGCTCTCACACGTGACTCCAAGTACTCAAGTGAAAGTCTCTGAATCGATACAGTTTTGTGTACAAGCCTTCTCTTCTTGCCCCCAAAGATGCATGACCCCTGGTCTCTGGCACCCCATTCCCCAGCCCCCTGTGATTTCACTCCAGACGCAGGGCTGCTTAGTCCAGGGAGTCCTGCGCCACGGCCTTGACTGGCTGGTGGGTGGGCGGGATGCCGTTACTCCATTCACTGCCAACTCTTTATTGAGGGCCAGCTGTGTTCCTGGCCTGGCCGAATGTGAGCCCAACCTGTGGCTGGTGAGGGAGATACCCCAAATCAAATAATGACACAGAAAGTTGCAGGAAGATGAGCTGGGGTGGTTTCTGTGAAGAAAGATCATGAAGTGTCAGTGCAGCCCCCACAGCGGGAGCTGCCCAGCCCAGCCATCAGGCGGTTTTCCTGAGGAAATGACACTTAAGTCTGTGTCATGGTGTCGGTGACGAGGCAAGAAGGGGCCTGCGCTAAGTTCCTTTGCTGCCTGACTTGCTAGATGATTTCACTGGGCTGAGGTCAGAGCATCGGCACTCTGCCGCCCTCTGTTGGCTCTGGGAGAACCTGTCCTGCTCTTCGGGCTCCTACAGCTGCCTTGCTTGACCCCTGGCCCCTTCCTCATGTGCAAGATCTGCAGACAGCATCTTTCTCCATCTGTCCCTAGGTCAGACCTCCCTCTGGGTGCCTCTGGGGGCTACTATCCAGCCCACACATATGGGCAGTATGTGTTAGGGCCCCGGGGAGGTCTGGATACACTGTCCTGGAGTAGGATCGCTCCGGGGGGTCGGGGGAGCGGGCAGGCCCTGGGGACCCATAGAAGAGCTTTGAGATACTCCAGGAAGAAGGTGAAGTTATTCAAGGCTGAGCAAGACAAGGGCTGCATCGGAGCATTTCAAGGAGCTGGTTTGAGGCTTTGCAGGGCTTGAGAAGAGAGGACAATGGCCTGGACGCCAGTGTGTGGGTTTCTTTGTGTCCTGAAGGAGGTGATGGCTGACATTTCCTTAGGAGGCCACTGTGTAGGTTTGGGAGATTCGTGGGGCCTTTGTCTAGGAGCCACTGTCCATCTCCTGTAGAGGTGCCCTGACATGAGCTCACATACAGGGATAGGTGTGACCAAACCCAAGGTCACATGGAGCCTTTTAAAAGAAAACCAAATAGAATTTCACAGGGACTAAGGTCAGGGCCAAGGCCAGTGGTCTCTGGCCCTGGGCACGCACCTGGGTGTGATGCCAATGACCACACACTCAGGACCTGCTGGGCTCTTGACTGCACTGTCCCAGCACTGGCTGGCCATGCATTGGAATGACCCATGTCCTCCTCTGTGGCCAGACCTGCGACCGCATCAAGCAGTCAGCCAGCGGGACCAAGCGCCGCGTGTTCATCATCGAGACCATGGGCGGCTACTGCGGCTACCTGGCTAACATGGGGGGCCTGGCGGCTGGTGCCGATGCTGCCTACATCTTTGAGGAGCCGTTTGACATCAGAGACCTGCAGGTACGTCGGCATGCTCATCCCTGAGGGTCCTTCAGTGCTGCTGCCTAACCCTGTTGTTTATTTTTATGGTGTCATAAACTATACTAGGTTTCAGGCACTTCCAGTGACCCATCACCTTGAATGCGGGTCACGGGCAGATGCACTAACTCTGGTGCTGGAGCCCTGTGCACAGCGACAGTGCGATACGCTGTTCGGGGCAGCTTCACTCTTCACCGGCCTTATACGATTTTGTCCGCTGCCCTGTCTCATCCACTAAGCAGATACCATTTCCTTAGGTGGGTCATCAGCCATCTAACAAGGGCATCTAGTGTTTCACAGGATGGGCACTCGGGCTCCCGAGACCTCCGGTGCCCTGTGGTCCGAGCCTGGGAAGGCTGGTGGTAGTTGGAGAACACCTTTCCTGGAGCCCCAAGGCCGCCCAGGACAAGCAGCTCTATCCATGTGAATGTGGGGTTTAATGAGGGGGTGCATGGCGTCCTCCCTCCCCCCACTGCCAGGCACACCCGCTGGGGACAGAGCAGTGGGCTCAATACACCTTGTGGGCACTGCCAACTATAAACAAAACGGGAACGCTCTTCCCTGCAGCTTGTTTTTTTTTTTAATTGACAGATTTTGGTTTTTTAGAGCAGTTTTAGGTTCATGCCCTCGCACACACAGCCTGCCAGAGTGGGGCTGTTGTTAGAGTCGATGGACCCACATTCACATGCCATCAGCACCCCCACACCCCCATTCCATGTTAGGATTGGCATTAGAGGTCTGTTGGGTGTCGCTGCTTCTTTTATTTTATTTATTTATTTTAAGTGTTTTATTTATTTATTTTTAGATAGAGAGGAAGGGAGGGAGAAAGAGAGGGAGAGAAACATCAGTGTGTGGTTACTTCTTGCATGCGCCCTACTGGGGACCTGGCATGTGCCCAGGCGTGTGCCCTGACTGGGAATCGAACCGGCAAACTGGCAACCCTTTGGTTCTCAGGGTGATACTCAATGCACTGGGCCACACCAGCCAGGACTCACTGCTTCTTTTAAATCTTCACATCATGATGCCTATTCTTCTAAATGGATAAGGGTTTCTCAGGCCCTCCAGCTTTTTAGGTGAACGGCTAGTTGGGTAAGCAGAGGTTAGTTGGGTTGCTCAGCCCAGGCATGGATTGGAGGTCAGCCTGTTCAGGACAGGCATTAGCCAATAAAACACAACCAAAATATACAAAAACACAAATAAAACATAGCTTTGTAAAAGCTATGATTTTGTTATGTTTCTGCACCAAATAAATCAAGCAGATACTTGATGTTTTCACTTATCTGTGATTTTTTTTTATCTTGACCTATGAATTTCTCTACAAACTGAATTAAATATTTATACTTCAAACACCTGCCTAAACACCAACCCATGTCAGCACTCTCAGCACACAGCAGGTGCTTCATAAATGTAATTACAACTGGGATGTGCTTATGTGTAAATATCTCCTTATTTTGCATACTTTCTCTCAAGGTACAGTATTCCTTTCCTTAGAGAATTTGTGCACATGGTTGAGTCTATAAAAATTTCTCTTGGTCTGGAGATGCTCATTAAGCAATTGTGTATATGAGGGTCTATACAAAGTGAGGTGACAGGTATTCTCCTCTGAGATAAGAAATATGGTCATGAAAATAGGAAAGAAGCAATAGATACATTTATAAGCTTCAGTCAAGGACACAGACTACATAAATTAATGTTTGAGGGTGACTTAAATTAATGGTTTATAATGTTTAACATACATCTTTACGTCATGATGCCTGTCATGAAACCTATTTATTTTGGAAAGTGCTTCCCATGGAAGTTAAGCTCCACTCACTACATATGCCCAGTAACATGAACTTGTCCTCTTCACCGCTCGCTGGTCATGTACCTGATGTATTTTCTGTTGTCCCTGCCACCAAAGCATAAACTTCGAAAGTTGCTGCTAGGTTCAGCACTTAGGATTGCATGGTGCCTGGCACACAGTAGGCACTTAGTAAGTTTCCTGTGTGACTAACAGAGCACTCCTTCCTAGGCCAACGTGGAGCACCTGACAGAGAAGATGAAGACCACCATCCAGAGGGGACTCGTGCTCAGGTAGCAGGCTCTCTCGAGTTCTCATTTAAGACCTGGCTTCTCAGCAAGAACCCGTTTTATGATCTGAAACGTGAGGAGCCATCACTTCTCCACCAGGACCCTCACTCTGAATACTGAAGGGACAAAATCACAGAGTAGCTGTGCTTTGTGCAAATGACTTGCATGCACTTAAATAACTGAAGGGTAATTTCTAAAAATTCATTTTGCTTTGTAATTTTAAAAAAGATATCTCCAAGACATTTCTTTAATTAAGCCACTGACATTTATAAAGAGAAGAAAATGTGGTTGAGTCACTTATGGGATTAGGACGGAGGTGAACGTGAGCCAGTCGGTCAGCGCCTGCAGGGCGGGCGCTTCTCCCCCAGCCCTGAGATGTTTTCCGTGTTTCAGAAACGAGAGCTGCAGTGAAAACTACACCACCGACTTCATCTACCAGCTCTACTCAGAAGAAGGCAAAGGGGTGTTTGACTGCAGGAAGAACGTGCTGGGCCACATGCAGCAGGTAGGGGCCTGACATCTCATCCCTCATGCGTGGGTCCCACAAAACAGAAAGGGAGGCTGTTATTCATGTGACTTCTTTTTAGATGGTGTCTTATGTTAGCCGTTGTGGGAAAAATAATGTGTACTCATAAATTCCAAGATGATTAAAAACGTCTGAACTATGTTATCGTGCCATTTAGAAGTCATACCAGATATCACCAGCTTTAGGAATTCCATTGTGATATTTGGGGTAGTTGAGTACTTCAGGGAAATGGTCAACTTTCATATAGTGATACCAGTTAATTGGAAAAATGTATTTACATTAAGTATCTCATTTAGCATTGGGCCTTAATAACCATTCAAACTGGAATAGCAAACAAGTGATACTTGAGATTTGCACAGAATCAAAACAAGGTGGAAAGACTCTTGGGATACACTCCACAGGCGGGAGGTGGGTTAGAATCACAGGCCCCACCTCCTAACCACATGCCCACCCTCGCCCCATCGCCACTGACCACTCCCATGTCTTAGGAGCTGCTGGCCTTGGGCCCAGTGTGCATTTCAGAGCAACCCCGAGTCTCCTGAATCTGTCATGAAATGCTAGGCAGGTGTGTATTTTGTGAAAGCAAGCCCAGAGTTGATCAGATTCTTAAAGAAAATTGGGACCCCCTCCGCATCCCAAAATAAGGTTAAGGAATCCTGACACAAAATGTTAAAATAACGAAGATTGCTAGGAGGTTCAGCATTGTGATGTTCACCTCACAGGCTCAGCTCCAGCCACAGAAGCCACTGGGCTTATTTTTCTTTGGTCCCAACTATACATGAGGAGATAAAATTTGGGAAACAAAAACCAAAAAAAAAAAAAAAAAAAAAAAAGCAAACCCCAAAGCCCATAGTTACAAATTTGATGTGGATTTTGTTAAATAATAGTAATTCTATTTCTACTTCTAACCACCAACAGGGTGGAGCACCTTCCCCATTTGACAGAAACTTTGGAACCAAAATCTCTGCCCGAGCCATGCAGTGGATCACCTGGATACTGAAGGAGGCTCAGGGAAAAGGTATCGGGTGACGCGAGGGAGGTGGCTTGGGCTGGAGGCTGGCCTGCGCTCTGCTCCGGGAGCTGGGTGCTGGTTTCTGCTCTGCTTAAATCCAGCCTTGAGCTACACCTGACAAAACAGTTTTACTCTTACCAGACTCTGCAGTTGCCATTTACAACATACAAGGTAATTAATTAATACAAAGTGCTTTAGTCTTGCTTGTTAGTGATGAGAAGCATCAAGTAAAAGTGACATTCTTAATAAACAGGAGATTGGCTTCTCTGAAAGACCCTAAAATGTCATCTTTCCTTGTTTTATTTCTTTGCCACATGGAACACTTTGGATTGGCTTTTACCTAGGATACTTTAAGAGCTACTCATTGATTCACTCATGACTCTCTTTTTTAGAGAAAACAAGGAAGGATTGCAGGTATCTAGACCATTTCCTCCTTTACTACCTACATGTGTGCTTCTCCCATACTTACCGCACCCCACGCCCCGCCCCAGCAGAACCTCGGAATTGTGATAAGCCATCCCATTGCTGCGAGCTTACTGCCTGATTAAACCTTCCAGGATGTTACTTAGTCTAGCTTTGTTTTTGTGCTTTATGTGAATGGATGCACAGTGTGCATCTCCTGGGACTGTCATCGTTGATGCGGTATTAGGTTTTGAGAGGTAGCCGTCTATAACGCATCCGCTGTGACATCTGCCAATCCTGACCCTGTCTTGAGTGTCCTGGTGTCTTGCTGACAGGCAGTGCGTCAGTGTGCAGGGCCACGCGGACCCAGGGGCAAGACACTGGCTTCTGGCTAGTTCTCCAGACTAGTCTCACGACACCTGTGAGACTCTCCAGCCCCTCATTCCCCTTTGGGTGACAATCTATCTGATCCATCGATGTTGAATTAATGCTATGCTGGGGACCTTACAATCTCACCGTAGTTCTGAGAGGCCAGGTTCTTCATGCTTATATACATAGTGGCTTCAGTGTACTGTTCAAGTTATTTTGACTGTTTTCCTAAGGCTTGGTTATGTTTATATATAGCTTGTCACTTTCTGCAAGGCACCTTTTAATGAAGTCCTTTTAATTTTATTTACTTTTTAAAAAAGATTTTATTTATTTACTTTTTAGAGAGACAGGAAAAGAGGGAGAGAAACATCTATGTGCTGGAGAAACATCTACTGGTTGCCTCTCACATGCCCCCAACTGGGGACCTGGCCTGCAACCCAGGCATGTGCCCTGACTGGGAGTTGAATGTTCATTTCACAGGCCAGTGCTCAATCTACTGAGTCACACCAACTAGGGTCTGAAGTGCCTTAATTTTAATGCAGCCAATTGACTTTTTTCCTTTATGGTTGGAGCTTTTTGTTGCCATTCTCCTTTCACATTTAGTTCTTTAATTCACTTGAATTGATGTGAAATTTAAGGTCTACTTTCATTTTCTTCCATGTGGGTAATCAGTTACTTTGGTGCCATTTATTGAGAAAGTCACTCTTTTCCCTTCACTCTGCAGTATAATCTCCATCATAAACCAGGTATCTACAAACATATGGGACTATTTCTCAGTTATTTGGTTCATTTTGAGGCATGTAATTATCTATTTGCCAGTATTCCAGTTTTACAATTACTGATACCTGGTATCAAAGAGCCTACCTGGACCTTCCAGTTTGGCGGCTCTCAGCCTTCTTTGCCAGCATAAACACAGTAGAAACAGATAGTCCAAGTCCACCACGAATTCTGTTGGACTTTTTGGAGGGGATTACATTTCATCAATAAATCATTTGGAAGAAGAAATAACATTTTAAAAAGTCAAATTTCTAATGAACATTGAATCTCTCTCCATATACTTGGACCTTCTATTATCTTTAAAAAGCATTGTTTTCCTTCAAGATCTTGTGTATTTATTGGTATAAGTTTACTCCTTTAAAAATATATTACTGTAAGTGCTATTTAATTTTTTTCTTATTGCTGGTGTACAGAAACACAATTACTTGTTCTGATCAATGTGGGTCAGTTGGTTGGGTGTTGTCCCTCGAAGTGAAAGGTCACTGGTTTGAGTCCCAGTCAGGGCACATGCCTGAGCTGTAGGTTCAAACCCTGGTTGGGGTGTGTGAGAAGCAACTGATCAATGTTTCTCTCTCACATTAATGTCTCTCTTTCTCCCTCCCTTCCCCTCTCTCTAAAAATAAAGTCTTAAAAAAACACAATTTTTGCCAAGCTGATTTGCAATTAGCAACTTTTTATGCACATTTTTAATTCTAATAATTATTTGTAGATTCATCTTTTGGATTTTACATGCACACAAACATTATCATCTGGGTATGAGCTTTTGATTTTTTTCCCATGCTAACTTTTTGTGTATATTACTCCAGAGGCATCCTGAATAGACGTAGTGATGGCAGAACTCCCGTCTTCTCTGGCCCCCAATGAACAGGGAATGCCTCCCATGTTTTCTGGCTACGAATTCTTAATAACATTACACTGAAGTCTGTCTTTCCTCTATTTGTTATTTGATGTCCATTACATATAAAGCCTCTCTTTTATTACAAAATCTTTTATCACAAAATCGTAAGCATGTAATTCTGTTACAACATAGTATCACACTCAAGCACACCATATGACATTTTAGGTGAAATATTCAAGTTAAAACTATAAATTATTATACCCATATTATTACCTTACCACCACAGTAAAGCAAGCCTTACTTCTTCTGGACCCTGTATGCCAGTAATGAAGGGATTGTATATACTTTTTTTGCATTGAATGAGATGGCTGTTTAAGTCTTCTTTAATGGATTCCCTGGTGCTGAGCCCACTTTGCCTTCCTGGTGGACAAGCCCCACCCCTACCCCCACAGCTCTGTTTGTTCTCTGTAGTTACTGGTGGGTCTTTTGCTTTGGCCATTTCCTGCTCATTATGTCCCTGTCAGGTGCTGGGTGGGCTTGTGGGCTTGTTCTAACTTTCTAAGAAGTCCAGCTTTTCCCCTCAAATAATTTGTAAGATGTTTCAATTTATGGATATTTGATAAAACTTGCCGAACACCTCCATCAAAGGTGCCCCTCCGCAACCATTTTCTCTACAGGGAGAGCTGACTCTTTGCTGAATTTCTTAACTGTTTCTAGAATTACTTGTGTTTATTTCTTGAATCCCTTTTATTATGTTTTATAGAAAATTTCCAAATGCATCTAAGTTTTCAAAATATTTTAAATGAAAATTTTTCATCATATTTTCTTTCCTTTTTAATTCTGGCAGCATTTCTAGTCCTCGTTCATTCCAAGTTTAGGTTATTTGTTCTGGTACCTCTATTTTACTCCCCTCAGTTTTCTTGATCCCTCCCACCAGATAGGTATAGTTAATTTTATTCCCAGTGTTTGACTAATACACACACAGTGATGTAGATTTTCAAACTAATTTTAGACTTCAAAAAAATGACTTTGTTTCCCTACTGAGTTTGTTTTCTACATCAACTTCTACTTTTTTATTTTTTCCTATGTTTTCCTTATTTTCACAGGTCATCTAAGGATTACCTCACTAATTTCCAGCCACTCACAGTGTGTGCAGTCATGAGCATATGTTCTTCTTAGCATGTATCTGAAATCTCTCTGCAGTTTAAGCCAATTTTCCTATTCCAGTATTTAGTGAGATATGGATTCACCACATTACTCCCTGTGGCAGGGGGGTGGGGGTGTCTCACTGCTGAGGACAGATAACAGCTCCTCTCAGAGTGAATGTGGAGTGAGGGCACTATCACCTCTGCCTCATCCTGAAGGGGACTCAGCGGGGGTTCTCCGCCTGCCTCATCACAGTCTCAGGGGATCCTGGGAGTCTGGCTCCTGCCCAGAGAGGGTGTGAGGACTCTGTTCCCTCCCATCAGCAAACCTCTCTCCCCTTTCCTGGTCTCACTGGCCATTTCACCTGACTGTTCAACCTGACCCAGTGTCCAGTCTCAGGTCATTGTTCTGTCTTTCACAGGAAAAAAGTTTGTAACTGACGATTCTATCTGTGTGCTGGGAATAAGCAAAAGAACCCTTGTTTTCCAACCTGTGGCTGAGCTAAAGAAGGAAACAGACTTTGAGTAAGTAAAATAGTGCACATCTAAGCCTTACTGCAGTTAGAAGGAATGGAGGACAGGAGTCAAGGACAGAGGGATGCTGCTGTCGTAGGCATTGTACTCACCTCTCTCACCTCCTGATTGCAGGCACAGAATTCCCAAACAGCAGTGGTGGCTGAAGCTTCGCCCCCTCATGAAGATCCTGGCCAAGTACAAGGCCAGCCTTGATGTCTCCGATTCAGGCCAGCTGGAGCATGTGCTCCACGGCCATGAGGAGCCTGCAGCCATCTAGTTGCCACCGCCTGCCAGTGATGCTTTGGGCTTCCTGTTTACCCACTCTGCCCCTGGTTTTGTAACACTTAAGTTATTTATCAGCACTTTACGTGAGTACTGTTGACGTTAATCCCTAATCACGATGCACCTGTCCTGTACCCTTCACACTCCAGTGGATCGTGAGACTCCAGTGAGTTGTCTGCCGTATCGCATACTCTGTCCCCTGCTTTCAAATGTGTGTTTCCAGTGGAATTAAACATTTGGCTGAAATTCCAACCACAGTGCTAAGGCTCCTTGATTTTCTTAAGTAGGTGTGAAACCTCAGGATCTGTGGGCAGCTACCATAGGTTTGTGTGGCAGTGTTGTGGGCAGGTATTAGCAACGTATTTTTGTAGGGATTAGTGAAATAGGCCATGCAGAAGCACAGTCATAAAGGAGAAAGGCAACGCTGTGACACACAGACATGGGACACGTCAAGTGTGTGGAGAAGGCCCCAGACCAGGACGCTAGGTGAAGTGACCCAACCCCAACCACATGGGCTCCTTCCAAAGTGTAGAACTGAAAACACCCTGAACGTGTGCATCAGAACAAGGCGAGCTTACACACTTGACCGCAGTCCTACTTGTGCCGTGAGGAAGGTAAGGCATGTTACTTAGTGTTGGGAGTGAAAAGCATTTCCACCTCTTTTCTCCAGCCTCTGCTCTCACGTCTGAGATGAGAGGAACTAGCCTGTCAATCAGCCATAGGGGAAGGAGTTGTGTGTAGAGAGCGTGGATGATGAGAAATATACGCAGGCCTTAGATACACAGGCTTGGATCCAGACCATGCAACATGTCCCAATAAAACGGGTCGTACAAATTTTTGGTTTCCCAGTGCATATAAAAGTTATGTTCACACTATACTGTAATCTACTGTATGTGAAAAAAGTATGTTCCTCGATTAAAAGATAGTTGATTGCTTAAAAATGCTAAAAATCACCCAAGCCTGTTGAAAACTGGCACTGATGGACTTGTTCGATGCAAAGTGACCACAAATCTCCAATCTGTTAAGACACAGAGCACCCGCGAAACGCAGCAGGACCAGGTCTGACTGTGGGCCAGGTTTAGGAATTGAGGATCACATGATATAGGAAGGACTAGCTCTGAGATGTTTACTTTCCGTCTGAAAAACGTAAAGTCAGTAACAGATGAGATAGAGCCCTTCAGTAAAGACAATATGGGAAGAAATTAATGCTTATTAACTCCAAACACATCAGTCCTTGGAGGGGACCCCATCGGGCTGCCCTGCCTAGGGTGCAGTTGTTCAGAATTTTCCCAGGTCCTTGGTGACCAGGCTGTTTTATAAATCAAGGCCGATGTTGGAATACCTTTGTTCATTTCACTTGTATTTTAATAAAGGTCTGAAGAACTACTTAGCAAAATGTCATTTAAAAATGACTAATGCACAGGTAGGTCAGAGTTGCCTTTTATTTTTAAACATTTAAATAAATATTCTAGGATTAATAAGGTAAAATAAGCATTTCTACCATGATTCGAGAGTCTTAAAATAATATTCTGTTCATCTCTGGCACTTAATGCATAATTATTGCAATTAATTCCTTCATGATTGCCTATTTCCTTCTTTAAGAACGAAGAGTTTGAGTCTGACTTCCCAGGCAAGTATGTACCTTTGGGAAAATTTTAAGGATGATACATGATCAAGATATTTGGAGAAAACTATCACTTCTCTAACCTTTCAAATTAAATTTGGCTCTGGCTTACTTCTTAGGGGCCTGTGAGCCTATGTTAGCTGAGTCCCTGAGCACAGCTGGAGCTACTCATCATCTGATTATCCAGGACGGGTCCTTGGCGATTTTGGAGTTCTCTGGTCCCAGCAGAGCCAGCCCGTGAGTGCTCCTCCCGACGCCAAGGTACCTGAAAAGGCAGGTAGGGGCATCAGGGCCGTCTCCATGTCAGGGGGCATCAGGGTCACAGGAAGTTTCTGAACACTTCAGGCCCCAGAGCTGTACTCACTTGTTGCTCACATCAATGAGACCTTCGCGGTGGACGGCAAAGAGCTGCTCCCTGTGCGCCTGCTTCAACTCATCTGAGAGGCCGTACAAGAAGTGGTCCAGCCCTGAAGGAAACACAGGTGACTGGGGGAGCTGGTCGGGGGCAGCACGTGGTGGCCTGTTCCTTGGGTGCTGACTCTGACCCGCTCCCCTTTGGAGACGAGGATGGGGATGAGTGAGGGCCAAGTCAGGACAGTCTCTGCCCCACTCCGGTCACACTGCCCAGAGCACTCACAGCCCACTGAGCTCTGAGATGATGGAATGTGACCCTTTCCACGCGGCAAACACTGAGATGCTCACTCTCAAGGTGGATATTTGTGTATCATAAAGGAGATGGTAGCGGGAGTGGGATGGACACACAACTCAGCAACTCAGCCTGGAATTGCCTGGTCACGCCATTCATCAAGGTGCTTGTTTTTTACTCCAAATACCTTTGTCCGAAGGAGCCAGGGGAGCGTCCACAGCAGAGAACACGGAGAGCTTGGCCTCATCAATGTCCTGCTGTGAAAAACTCCCAGACTTGGCCCATTCGACGGCCTTTGCGAAAGACTGGAGTGTTTCTGTTGAGTGTGGATCCCTAGGAGACCCGAAGAGTTAGCTACTCACACATTTACCAATGGAAAAAAAAACAGGCAACAATCATGTGCTGACTTTACAGCTTCAACACTTTACAATTGTTAACAGCTCTATTTGAATGCTTAGTCCAAAAATCAATGCTCTAGAAATTTATACCTGGCCACACAGGCCACCCGACCTTCTTGGAGACGTGGCCATTCACCTAGCCTCACCACCAGGCTTCCCGGGGAGAAGGGAGTCAGGCGAGTGAAGGAAAGTGAGACTGAATGGAAGACTCGTGGAGAGACGCCAAGAAAGGTTAAATGAAAACCCTCGTTTCCAAAGGATGCACTCAGGATAGCTGAATAATCCCCCATATCTAGGCCAATTTCTAAGAGCCTTCACTAAGTGGAAAGAATTGCAGAGGCCTTTGTTCATACAACAGACCCAGCACTGAATGGTTTGGCAGACGTGGAGGGTGGGGCTCAGGGGCTGTTTTCTGTCCTGCAGCTCCCAGCACTGACACCAGAAAGTGTTCAGAACTGGCAGCAGCTGGGAGCAAGGAGAGTGCCTCAGAGCCACAGACAGTTTGTTCTTTCCCTGGAGCGTTAGAATACATGTCTTCAGGCAGAGGGCCACGGAAAATTAAAAGGGCAAAAGCAGTCTGTGTAGCCCAGGATCCCAGCCTCTACAACTACATCAGCCGGAAAGCTCAGGTCACCTTCTACTAAAATATGCTTGTCACCAAATGTCAGGATTCATTTAAGGCAAAATGTTTCTTGTTCTCTCCTGCTGTTGTCCCTAAAACCGAAAGGACAGGGCTGGGTATCGTTAAGTGCTGAAGAGGTGGGAAAAAGTAGGAATGATTTTTCTCAAATTCACTCCAGTACAGGAGATGATGACACTGATGCCTCAACAAAGCCTTTGACCATCAGTGACGTGAGGCTGTGTCCACATGCACGAGATGATCAGAAAGAATCTCACCTATACGAGTAGAAAGTGAATATTCCATTACGACTGAGTTTGGCGCCTCCACCATAAGCACCACCTTTTTCTCGAATTTCTGTGTGCAAGAATTTAGCAGTCATCAAACGTGCCAGGATCTTAAGACTGAAATAAATGATTAAAAAATGCAAGTTAAAAACATGGCTGGCAGGGAAGTATATAATAAAAAATAGTCTTAAAGAATGTCAAGTAACTGAGTGAAAACAAAAATAAAGAAGCAGTGGCTTGGATGACGGGTGGGGGGGAGGGGACACCTTCCCTCACATACTTCCACCTCTCTCAACTTCTGTGTGGATGTGCACGTGGAAAGCTCTTGATTAGCTTTCCACAGGCATCTTCCCTAAGGTTTCACTCTGTTGGAATATATATTTTTGACGTTCCTACTAACTTCCGTTAGGAATGCTAACAGGCGATGCCCTGGGAGGGAAAAGGAAGGTTCCAGAAAGCAGCTTGCCAGGACAGAGCGGGCAGGGCCACAGCCCAGTGTGGCTGCCATCTGCAGGGGGCACAGGCCTGCTCTGCTCTGTGTGAGCACTCGGCCTAGCGCCTGCTCCTGAGCAGGTGACACAAGCCAGATGAGAAACTAAAGGGAGGAGCAGGACACATGGTCTTAAAGATGGGGAGAGGGGTGGCTGTGCCGTCCTCACCAGGGGAGCCCCAGCCCAGGGTCCGAGGTAGGCGGGCTCTGCTCACCCCACAGGGACTGGGGTTTATCCTCCATGTATTTTTCTTTAGAGATTTCTATTACTTCTATGTTACCTAATGATCACATTCACTGTTGGAAAATTATAAAATATGAAGAGAGGCAAAAATATCAATAATCATACTACCCTGGGGTACCTCTCGTAATATTTTCATAGTGTAACTCTACATTTTTCTATTAATGGTAGAAATACACATTCCTATCTTGATGGCTTAGCATGGAGAGAATGCCTTTTTCCTACAAATAGGGAAATAAACCAAAAAAACACTGAGCAACATACTGTGATTACATTTTCTACATAAACTTTTTCTAGAACCCACTGGCAGCCTCGGGTTTCTGAGTTTCTACGGACCCACGACCTTTCCCTCCCTCCGACTCTCCTCTCTCCATGGCGGCCCCTTCCCCTCCTTGGTCAAGGCTTTCACGCCTGCCTCGTTTGTACCTGGCATGGTCAGGGTCTGTGTAGGGGGCAGTTCTCACACATTCACCGACGTAGTTCACAGGGAATGGAAGCAGGAAGTGCGTCTTCACCTGGCAGGGCTTGAAAGTGGGCTCCTGCGGAGGGAAGGTCGGGTCAGGCTACGCCATGGTGAGGTGGCCCACAGGTGCTACCCACGAAGAGGCCATGTGGGCTTTGGAATGCACCGCTTCCGGTGGGCATCACCAGCCATGGTCTCATATTTGAGAGCAAGGCACGAATTCTATACCAGTACAATGAAATTTTCATTCTGAGTCATTTCTATTTTGTTCACTGTGTGAGCTTTCTTTTTCTTCCCATTTTTCTTCAGGAACATGGTCAGATAACTTCCCTGTGAGGAACCAAAGTAACGCCCAGATCACCCAAGCTGAGTGGAAAGGACGACACTGACCAACTGGAGGGGAATCAATACCGATTTAGCAGTTATGTTACAACAGGCACACTGGTGAGACCGCATGGGAGACAAGGGTCTTCATGGGCACTAGGAC